CGAATGCTGCAGCTTCTATCAGTTTTTTTCTCTGATGGTTTCTGTATTGTTAAGATGGTCCGTGGCTACAAATAACAGTCACTTGAGTAACTCAAATGGGATTTTTCGCAGTAACAAAGTGTCAGTTGGTGGTGGTGACGGGCACTGATTCAACAACTGGACGGTCAGGACCAGGACCAGCCTTTCTGTGACCGTGACCTTTCCCCATGTGCCAGGTGCTGCGCCTCACGGTGTCCTCAGCAGGCGTGGTGTCCCCCCCGGCTCCGGGTAGTGGAAAGCAGAGGGCACGTCTGAACAGCAGTCTGCCCCTTCCACCAGGCTGTGGTCCCCGGCATCCCCCCAGTGCAGGGGGGCTGGAAGGTGGGGACAGGGCTGGCTCCACCAGGGTTTCCCATCCTGGGCACTGGTGACGTTTGGGCTGGACAGCTGTTTGTCATGGGGACCGTTGGAACCGCACGTGTGCCGTGTCCCCGGGACTGCCTGGCTTCTCCGTCAGCAACGCCTCACACAGCTCTGGGGGCACGGGAGGGATGCAGCCCCCTGTCTGCACACACAGGAGTGTGGCATTAGAGAGGTCTCAGGGCCTGGCCTGGAGTCACAGCTCCCAGCGCCTGGGTGGTAGGCATGTAGCACAATACCTTATCCCACAGGGACATCCTGCCTGTGCCTCTGGAGAGGAACCGCCATGCCCAGGACCTTGGGGACCCAGCCTCACCAGGTGGCCAGGTCAGCATCCCACTGGGTCCTCTGCATGTCACACTTTCTGGGAGAGCCTTGGCTGTGAGCCCACCCCAAGAATAGCACCTCGGCTTCCCGCAGTGGATCCCAGGCCAGCCTGGCGGGGGTGGAGCCTGGCTCCCGCCCCAGGGAGCTGAGGCCCGGGGCCTGGGTGCTGCTCTGACCCGCAGCCCTGTGCGGAGGGTCTGGGAACCACCGAGGGCTGCCCTCTGGGCCGTTCGGGCCCCAACAGCGGGTCCTTCAGCCTTAACAGGCTTTGGGGGTGCCGCAGGCCAGGAACGGGACAAGGCTGGCTTTTCCCCGGTCTGGCCTGCTGCCCGCCCAGAGCCTGCCTCCAGATGCGGACCGGCACCCGCCCTCACCAGGCTCTCCACGCTCCCTGGGGAGGGGGCAGCAAGGCCCAGCATCGGCCTGGCCCCTGCCTCTCCCATCGGCGGCCACCCCTCCCACTCCTGCTTCAGGGCGTCTGGTCTCGACTTCCAGGCAAGGCGGGGGAGGCGAACGCTGTGCTGGCCCCCGAGACCACATCGAAGTACAGCGCTACGATGGCACTAGACGTACGAGACTACGAGACCCACCGAAGCCCAGCTGAACAGAAGTCCTGTGACGAAGCCTACGATGGCACTAGACGTACGGGACCTACCGAAGCCCAGCTGAACAGAAGTCCTGTGACGAAGGCTGTGCAGAAGAAGCCACGTCGAGACCGTGTTGAATGTCAACCGTAACTGAAAACTAGGATGTCGGTAAGGCGCAGCTCACCACGGGGCCACCCCAGTCCCAGCCATCAGCCCACGCCAAGCCCATGGTCCAGGCTGAGGCAAGGGAGCTTCGCTCTTGGGGACGGGTGAGCAAGGAGCTTTCTCCCCACTCTGGTCGCCGACCGAGAGGACGGACCTGGGCCCGTGGCAGGGAAAAGGAAGCCAGCCGCTGGAGACGTCCCTGGCTCTCGCGAACCCCTGGATGCAGCCAGGCCTGAAGTCCCTGGACTTCAGCGTTCCCTTTTTAGCTTAAGGCAGTTCGAGTTACCTTGTGACCCAAAAGCTGGCAAAGGACCTCAATAATCATCGCTCTCCGGCCCCGTAACGTCGGGTGAGACAAGGAAGCCCTGGGCTCCTGCGACCACTGGCAGCAGGAGGAGGCTGGAGTCTCAGCTCCGCCACTTACTAGAGTGGCGATCTTGACCTTATCTCACCTCTCCGAGCCTCCATCTGTTTACCCGTAAAGGGATGGTGCTGGTTCTCAGTGGTCATGAGAATTAAATGGAATAAGACTCATAAAGCCCTTGGCCTGGTGCCTGGTATGTGGGAAAGTGCTCGATACAATGTAGCCATTGTCTGGTAAGAACCAGTGATGATACTGAGTGTGGCGACAAGAACCATTCCCGCTGACAATAAAAGTAGCCACGTAGGCGGCGTGGTAACCACCGAGAGCTGTAGGCTCGCCGGGCCCTGAGCTGGGACACGCTCCCTTCAGGCCCCACCCACTTGGTCCCAGCAGTGCTGCCTGTGAGCAGAGTGGCACCAAGTCTGTGGCACCCCCTTGCTGCATAGGTGCCACCTTGGCACTTAATGAGAGGCCAGTTTGTTTGCCTTCCAGGCCAAGAACCCAGGTGTCGGAGACCATAGCTCCTTCGCCAGCGAGACCAGCACAGGACAGCAGGCCCCGCAGCGGTCAGCCGTCTGCCCTTGCCACGGTGACCTGTGCTTCGGTAAGTGCTCCCTGACCCCTCTGTCGGGAGCCATTAGGACTGGCACGTTTAACAGTTGAAAACAGAGGATGCTCAATTAATTCGAATTTCAGAAAAACGAGTCATTGATTAGTAGAAGATATCACAAATGTTACGTGGACATATGAATTCGTCGTTTATCTGAAATTCTTATTGAACTTGGCGGTCTGTATTTTATCCGGCACCCCTAAGAGCCTGTGTCCTCATCACCCTCGCACTGTGTGATTCTGCTGCGGGCCAGCTGGCCTCAGGTGTGGGCGGGGTCTGACCGATCCGCACAGCCTATCCAGCTGGCCACACTGACTGGTTCAGAGGCAGGCATGTGGCACCATCAGTGACCACTGAGAGGCCGCCTGGGACCTCGCTGTGACAAAAAGGCGGAGGCTCCCTCTCCCAGCTGTGTGTGCTGAGTTTGGAGTGCAGGTGGCCTTTTTTGGTTGCAGTGTAAGGACAGCCTACCCCGCAAAGCAGAGACAGACCAAGGCTGAAGGAG